GGGCCATATCATCGTGGTAAACCCTGATTATGTTAGTAACCATGGCTTCCGGTACCACAAACCTATGTTTGTTAGTATCTTTTCTAAAAACTAGACCATCTATCAATTGGAATTTTTCTTGATCTTCTTTTTCTAAATTTTCAGCCAAACGTTTCAAGAAGGGATCTGTTAATTGTCTGTATTGTAGCTCTTTTTCTAGCGGAATTGTCTCTGTGAAGCAGACGGCTCTGCTGAGAGCATCTACATGCACCATTCGAGGGGCCTCTCTATGTTTGGTATTGAATGTATAATCCTGTAATCTCAGGATCCACCTCGCTATTCGAGGATTCAGACAGGCTTTATTGATTGCATGCACTACTGCATTGCAATCTGTAACTACTGTAAAGTCTATTCCATATAAGTAAATATGGAATCTTTCGACAGTTTTGACTATTGCGAGCATCTCTAGTTCAAAACTATGATAGTTACTTTCAGCACCATTAGTGCACTGACTGTAGTAAGCAACTGGCGACCAATTATTGGATTTTTGTTTTTGAAGCAAGATGCCAGCTATTGCGACTGCACTAGCATCCGTATGAATTTCTGTGGGTAACGTGGGATTATATACAGATAAAATGGGCGCTGAAACTAGCTCATTTTTAAGAAGATTGAAAGCTGTCTGACAACTTTCGTCAAATTTGAAGGATACAGATTTTTTAAATAAATCCGTAAGAGGTTTTGCTTTAAAAGCATAGTTCTTTATAAATTTTCTAAAGAAATTGGTGAGACCTAAAAATCTTTGAATTTCTACTATCTTTTTTGGTATGGGGAAGTTCTTAACAGCTTCCACGTGTCTTTCGCTTAACGTAATCCCTGTTGGGGAAATTACATATCCTAAGTATTCTATCTTTTCTTTCAGAAAAAGACATTTATTATAATTCAGTTGAAAATTATATTGTTTAAGGATTAACATAACTTGTTTTAAAACGTGTAAACTATCGTCAACTGATGTAGATGGAATCAAAATATCATCTATGTATACTAATATCTTATCTTCCCGAATCAATGGTGACAAAATTTGTATAAGACGACGCTGAAATTCAGCTGGTGCTTCACAATAACCGAAAGGAAGTTTCACGAATTCGAACTGGCCATCTGGTGTGGCGAACGCGAAATATTTCGTGTGTTCTGGAAAAATTTTTATATGGTGAAACCCGTCTTTTAAGTCTAAAAGGCTAAATATCGTTTTATCACCTAAACGCGATATGCAGTCTTCTATCAGCGGAAAGGGATATTTTTGTTTTATCACTCTACTATTAAGAGGTCTCAGATCAATACAAAGACGCAGGGTACCGTTCTTTTTTCGAACCGGAACTATTCTAGCGCAGTACGGAGAAGAACTATACTTAATAATATTCCTATCTAGTAGGTCGTCCGTAATCTCTCTGATCTGCTGCCTTTCAGACCACGCAAATCTTCGTGGCGCGTAAGCGTAAATAGAATCGTCCTTTAACGAGACTTTAACCGAGTGATCGTCCTCCACTGGTGGGACGTCTGTATTTTCTACTTCTTCAATTACTTTAATTAATTTATGATCCGCTTCTGGACCAAAGACAGATTTTAATTCCGATAGAAAAGGAATAGAGTCCTTTTTTGGAAGTTCAACGATTTCCGTTGAAGCTACTTCTGAAAATAAATCAACTTTAATTTTTGATTCATTATTAGTCAAAGAAACAGTGAAAGTTATTTCATTGTCTTGAAGGAAATCTCTTCCTAAAATCAAATCCATGGAAGAAAAATTATCTTTTAAAACTAGCATATTTGCAGATGCTGTAAAATTTGGCAAGGATTTTAAAACTAAATTTGTTTTTATTGAACCCAGAGTTGAAATGGTAGTGTTATTTACCGCTCTATATGTTTGTTTACTGCTGTTAAATCGTAAAGATTGAGATGAGAAAAATTTACTAAAAGTGGCATGGCAGATGAAAGAGACCGGGCTTCCCGTGTCTATCATTGCTAGTAACTCGCATGCGACGTTATTTAATTTAACAATATTAAGGACGGTGTCTTGGGAAACAATTTTCCTACCGTTATCTTTAAATGTTACCGCTACTATAGAAGATGGACTGCTTGGCTGTTCATCGACTGTTGCTACCGTAGGAGAAGTTGTCGGGGATGATGCTTTTTGCTGCTCCCTCCTTTTTAATTTTCTGCAATCTTCTCTTAGGTGACCCTTGTTGCGGCAATAGGCACAAAAAATTTCTGGCTTTTGTTGTCCATTTTTAGAGGAACCGTTGCTGTCCTTGAAGTCGTTATTCTTCGAGGGGTTGTATCTTTTGTCATTTTTTGAAACAACTTTAGTAGATCTGCAGACTTCAGTGATATAATGCATCTCTTTTAAAAATGATTTATCGAATGGTGAGGTTTGTTTGCAGCCGTAGACTTTATAGCGAGGTTGTTAATCCCATTGATTAACAGGTGGATGGTGTCTCTATCATTAAGCTTGAGTGGGTGTATTAACGCAAGCTTATCCATGGCATACTCTTGAAAACTCTCTGATGCAAAATTCCATTTTCTGTCATTTATTTTCTGCATTACAACGTTGAAAAGAATTTCTCTTTTAAATCTTTGAGTGATCTCATCCTTAAAAGTGTCCCAGGATTTATTTATATTACCCGGACTCAAATCCATCCAGCGGCGAGCAACTTTACTAAGTTTGGAGGTAGCCGCTGACAATCTGACAATAGGTGACAGACCATAATTATCCGCAATGGTCTCTATTTTTTCCAACCATAGGGAGATGTCTTCGTCTTCCGTACCACCAAAGGAAGATATGGAATTCGTTAAGAATTTGATGGCTTGTGCTGTGGCAGCGAATGACATTTCTGGAACAAGGTTATTATTAGCGTCTTGAAATTTGTGCCGCACCATACCTTGTGGTGAGAAAACAGGTATCTGTGAGTCTGCATAATCTGTTACTAGAGGAGTTTCTGAATATGACTCCTGAGCTTTGTAGTAGTTCAACAGAGGCGTCTCTGGTGAGGATCCTTGATTTGGATAACTTGTAGAGCATTGGTGCTGTATATGTGTTGGCACTAAATGCTGCATAGTGGTTGACCTTTGAGGCTGCGTAGTAATATGCAGTTGCTGTGAAGAAATGGGTACTTGATTATGAGCCGTTGAGACTAGCATTTGATGCTGTGTCGTTGGGACAGACAGTTGTTGCTGTGTGTAAATAGGCAGTTGATGTTGCGACATTGAAACAGGCAATTGATGCTGTGTTGAAATAGGTAGGTGATGCTGCGACATTGAAACAGGCAATTGATGCTGTGTTGAAATAGGCAAGTGATGCTGCGACATTGAAACAGGCAGTTGATGCTGTGTTGAAATAGGCAAGTAATGCTGCGACATTGAAACAGGCAGTTGATGCTGCTGTTCTAGCGTAGAAGTTTTTGAGACGGACATTGACATGAACATTTGTTGCATGATAGACTGCTGCTTAACTAATTGTTGCAGCATGTCTTTTTGCTGGTCCATTTGTTCCTTTTGCAATTCTATTTGTTCTTTCAACGAGGAGTAAGATTGAGGCTGTGTATTATTACCTGATACATCAGAATGTGATGGGTTTTGTTCCTTCATTGTCGTCTCTGTTTGCTCAGGATTTTTTTCTAATTGCAGCTTTTCTTGTCTAATTATGTGATCTAAGATCTCATCTATCCATCTATCCTTATCTTGACTTGATAGGATGATACCGTATTTTCTTCCTTCAGCTCGTAAGAGGGGAAGAGATAAATCACTTAATTTCGCCTTGACGAGTTCCATCGATGTGTCTGTAGACATCTTGAAAGCGCGGGAATCTCGCGACTCGTGAACTCGGAAAACAAAGGCACTAAGAAAACTAAAATGGCGACTGCTTTTTAGCGCGAACGACGCATTTGTTTCCAATGGCGTCTAACCGGCACTTTTTTGTGACCGTAACAAAGAAAATTTTCGAATGCGATTAACCACTGAAAATTATAGAAAGCCTCGACCGCCTTTTGGGCAATGCAAGGATTGACTCGTCAGTCTTCGGACAACGCGAGAATATTTCGACAGTCTTTGGACAACGCGAGAATATTTCGACAGTCACTGGACAACGCGAGAATAATTCGACAGTCTCTAGACAACGCGAGAATATTTCGACAGTCACTGGACAACGCGAGAATATTTCGACAGTCACTGGACAACGCGAGAATATTTCGACAGTCACTGGACAACGCGAGAATATTTCGACAGTCACTGGACAACGCGAGAATAACACGCACTCGTTAGTCTTTATGACGACGCGAGCACTGTGGTTTTTTTTTTTTTTTTTTTTTTTCAAAAAGAGAGAAGGAATGCGGGTGACGCAATCTATTTGCGTCTAAATTCCGGACGCGAAAAAACGAAAAAAAACCACTCAGAGCAAGGGATATCCCACTTCTGAAGCTGTGAGGATGGTAGATATTTAATGAGAGGACTCTCTTTGTTGGGATGCCTGGATTCGCGGGTGTCAGGAAAGCCGCGGGAGAGGCGAACAAAGGGGTCTTGCTCGTGAGATGGTTGTAATAATTATCACACCACGTTTAACTGAACTGATCTTTATTCACGCGCATGGTACTTACAAATACCATGTTCTCGCCGTGTGACTCTATATTCTAACTCGGCTTATGCCATACAAGTTGTTGCGACGTAGTTGAACGTCGCGCGCCCGACCACACTCCTTCGCTGTACTTTTGCTAATGCTGCCGTCATGGCCGCCGCCTTCTTCCTCGTCGACCACGAGGTTTTGCGCCACTGCGCGCGCATCTCACACCTGCGCGCGCATCTACAGGATGCGCGCGCCTATCCGCACGCAGGCATAGTTATACTATGCAAGATATATCTCGTAATATATCTTACAATACCAAAGCACATTGATGTATATAAGTCAGTGCTATCTTGGGATATAATGACAATATGACTACAATGTATATATTATTGTAATATTAAAAATGTTACATCTATGAGTGGGAAGTTACAACTAACAATACGTTACATGTTAAATTTATATTACTGAATATACTTACCTTCAAACAAAGAAAAGGCCTATCAGGACATCGATTTTGATATGAGCCATAATGAAAACACCATTCAGCAAATTGCAAGCTCGATACAAGTACTTAATGTCCTAAAATTAATAGAATATTTTTCAATAATTATGAATTTGATAATTTTGATTTTTTTCAATAATTATGAATTAATTTTAATGATTATATAAATATATACTAAAACATATTCTGCTTCATAGTATAATTAAATAAATAACGTGAATACGAATATCTAAAACTTTCCAATCAAATAAATTGTTCTTGGTTCAAATAACTTGACCTACACTGTTTCTATCATTTGATCTTCATATCAAAAAGCATTTGAGCTGATTAATTAATGACTAGATTAATTTATTAGTTATTTATTATTTGATACATGCATCAAGTGTTCAATGTAAATAGGCCAATAGATTATAATTATAATAACATAAATCTTTTGCTATAATGATATTTTGATTGTATCTAGATATCTGATATTTGTGGATATTGAATCGATTTAAGTCTTAAATATTCGTATATTATATTGTGTTATCTATCTCCAAAAAGTGAGCCAAACCTTTGTTTGTTGAAATAAATATATAAAAGTATAACCATTCCAGCAACACCATGACAGATGCTGTATCCCTTTTTAGTAATCCTCTTTCCCATGTTATTTCTCCACATCGTATTGCAGTGTCTAGAAATGTGCTATCCTCAAATATCTAATCATATCAATGATAATATAAGTTATTTAAATAATTATTAATTTATTAAATTTCGTATAAAATTTATATGACCTTATGAGCCAAACAGAACAACATAGATATTCCAGGTGCTCCGTGACACCATTGAACTAATTTGTCAGAAGGATTTCCTATCGAAGAAGGGAAATTTCCTGAAGAAAATTGCAATCTTTGAAGATAGTATAAGGATGGTTTTAAATAATTGTCAATTTGTACTTGTGTTAAATACTGTCGTGCCTAAAAGAAAAGAATGCAAATGTCATAAGTGATAGTGCTTACTTTATACATAATTACATATTAATGTAATTTATTATTAACGTAAATATTAATTTGAAGATAAAATCAAATAGCAAATAGAGTCAAATAATTACATTCCAAAATATATAATTTTTGAAATATATAATACCTGCAATAATAAATATAATATGCCAGCTAATCCATGAGCACCACCAATATATTCTTTATCATGCCAAGAATACATTAAAGGTGATTGACAATGATTTGTTGAAGAATAAGATATACCAGATTTTATTATATAAGAAATAACCTATGCAAACAATTTTAATGTAAAAGTTTTAATATTAAAGTTTTATTTGAATGTAAATTATATATAAAATTATATTTAAGAAAACAATACCTTTGTTATTAGATCTGCTTCTATAGGAGCTGGAGATATATTTGCATTTACATAAAGCAAACCAGCTAAATATCCAGCTCTTCCATATAATAATTCATCAGGAACATCATTATGTTGGTCCAAAACATAATTAGATAAAGACTTCAACCTATAAATTGTAAAATTAAAAATTATTTGATTTTATCTCTATATAAAATATTTAGAAGAATAATTATTCTTAGAATTTAATATGTATTGCTCTGTTCAAACACTAAGATATTGTTAAACAACAAAACTTATGAAAGAATATTATAAATTATAATAAATAAATAATTATACTAAATAAAATATTAAAAATTTTACTTTTATTATAAAAATTTTTATTATTTTATAAATAGTAAAAAATTATTACACTTTATTATCATCTTAATGCATAATCATCTTATAACTATCATTTTTTTAGTTGTACAGTTATTAATGTTTACTCCTATTACTTACATCATTATTATCATAGGTATACATAATTTAAATTTCATTACTATTTTATATATATATATGAATTACTATATTATGCAATTCTTATATTATGCAGAATTATTTCAGCATTAATAAAACAATAAAAATTGATACATAAAATACTCAAATTTTTTATGAACATATAATTATAGTTTAAGAATTATATATACAGGGTGTCTGCTAACTAACGGACCAACGATTACAAATGGATTCTTTGGTCAATTTGGGAACGATTTTTCTTAGTTAAAATGTCGAAAAAGGTCATCATTTTTTACAACTTTCCAATATTTGTCATTATATATCTTTATAACTAAGCCTCAAATTAAAATTTTATTATAGTAAACTCTACCTGAAATTAACTGAAGAATGTAATTATGTTAGACTTTTAACTCTAAAACGTTTAGTTTTCCAAAAAAACCATTTTTTCAATCGCTTATAACTCGAAAATTATTGACTTCTCAACATTTTTGCTAAGGAAAAATCGTCTCCAAATTGGCCAGAGAATCCGCCCTTAATCATTGGTCCGTTAGTTACCGGACATCCTGTATATGTGTGTGCGTGTATAAAGAACTTTATTAAATATAAATAAAATTGTGTTTATATAAGCTTAATAATTAATAAAAAATTATAATTTCAAAATGTACTTTTTAAAATATTAAAAAATTATGTACTTAGAAATTAATTGTTTCATTTCCTCTTTCTTTCCCTGCGAATAAAATATTACAGCTGCTAATGCATATGGACCTACAATTCCAGTCAAAAAAGTTGTCTTATGCCTGCTTTTGAAATCTGCAATACATTTCTTAATAATTCTGTTGCTGCCTGAAAAATAAATTAGTTATTTGATTAAAATAACATTTAATTTTTATTTGGAAAAAATATCTTTCAAATTTCCTAATATACTTTGATGTACGCAGAGTCATTGTAATATTTTCCATAATGATAAAATGTAAATGCAATTCCTGCTGATCCAGTATATACAGAACAATCACTATTGTTATACCACTTTGTTTCATTTTCTTTCAATATCTTCATTAACTTTTTTATTTCTGATGTTAATAATAATGTAAATTCATTATGAATCTGAAAAATGGATCTTTTTTGTATAAAATTTTATTAAATAATTGTTTATACTTATATTATAAAATAATTATATTAAATATTATTATAAATATATGTTAAATAATACATAAATACTATATTAAATAGTATATTAAATAGTATGTTAAACAGTATATTAAAAGTATATTAAATAGTACAGCATATAAATATATATATATATATATATATATATATATATATATATACCATATGAAAATCATTGTTGATTACATTGTGACTGACAGAAGTTGAATAATCTTCAAAGTAATTTGTATAATGTCTATCCATAGCAGTTTTCAAAAATTTTATTTTTTTCCGATATTATAAAATTATACACATAAATTCTAAACACTCGGAATTTTATCGATAAAAATATAAACAACCCTTTGAGGTACGTTCGTTCAGATTTCCAACCCAATAAAGATAGGTACTGAGTACGTTACACGGCACCCTTAGGGTGCGATTCCATGATACGGAAATCGACGTGCGGAACAGAGAATGCGTGAATTGAACAGCCAATCAGCGCTCTTCCGCATTTTTCTGTATCTTTTCCGTATGCGTTTGCGTGTATGCGTTGCGTTACTCTAGCTAACCTACAAAGTTAGAATTGAAAGTCCTTGGAGTCGCGTTCCGACCGTGCTAGCGATCGGACGCACAGAGTGATCGAGTAATTTATCTCTGGTTAAGAGGTTATAGCAAGCGCGGGGTAGTTGAGTTGTCACAGTTTTGAGGATCATAAAGTTGACCGAACAAAAGGAACAGCTGGACGATGTCAGAAATTCCCCCGATCGGACGGGGGAATAGATTCAACCCATATCGTAAGGAGAGTGGCAAAACGAACGAGAAAGGAAGAGCAAGGAGCCGAGTTTTTGGATAGTATAGAGGACATGATAGAGACAGAGAATGACGAGGAGAGTAACGTAACAAGTAAATTACAATTAAGAGCAAGCAGTTCAATTAAGGAAACAGGTTCGCAATCAAGCGTGAATCAACCAGACAAAGATGCAGATATGGAGCTGTCGGAGGAGATTATAGATTCGAGCCAAGAACCAAGTACCAGGACAAGGAATGCAGAGGACGATACACAAACAACCAACCGAAAGGAACAGGAAAATGTCAACAAACAAGTAACGAATATAAATAAGGTCATAAAGTCAGATAGCTTTGTCGTGATTAACGGTATTCTTGAGAAAGTTAGCGATATAGATAAAGAAACCTATGACAAAATATTTCGTTTAAACAATCAGAGATATGATAGCAAAATTACAAATGTATGTAAAATTAATTGTAAAATTAACACAGATCATGTTATGTCAAATAGGGGTAAGAACTGTACAAAAATTTTACTGTGGTGCAATAAGAATGGGGTATTCCCTATTAATATAGAAATGATAAAATTTAATCTATCAACAATAAGTTTTAAAAATGCAAAAGAAGCTAATGATTGTTTAGACAAAATAGACAAAGTAGAAAATAAATGGCTCACCGGTTTTATAGATAAAAAGTTAGTTACGTGTAGAGGTGTAATTGTCGACTGGCCGTTCGAGATACCAGAATTATGGGAAAATATAGTTGAGAGGGAAGATATATTAAAAATAGAGAAAATGAAAAAAAGCATTTGGAATAAAACGGATAAGAAATACGAGGTAGTCAATACGAATAATTTTATTATAACTATGAAAGGGAATAAAATTAAAGATAGTTTAACAATTTTTAATAATTTACACATAAGTCTAAGAATCAGACCATATGTAGAACCAGTGGTTCAATGTTTCAAATGTTTCATATTTGGTCATATCAAAACACATTGTAAGAGAGAGGTTAGATGCATTATTTGTGGAGAAAATGCACACGGAGAGTGCAACAGGTTGACTACGTGTAGAAATTGCGGAGGAGATCATAGATCCACCGCAAGAAATTGTCCAGTTTTTCTAAGAAATAAGGAAATAAAAGTTATTATGGCATATAATAATATCTCATTCACAGAGGCTGAAAGATTGATTACTGGGAAGAACTATGAACAAATAATTCCGAAATATGATAGGTACACCAATCCAAGCGCATGGCCTAAGCTAAAACAAAATATTGTAAAGAATGATTTCAGAAAAGAAAAAGAAAACCCAACGGTTATACATGGCCCTTCGAGAGAAGGACAAGGTTATACACACAAACCCAAAGAACGAGAAGCATTCAGAAGAGAAAAAGAAAAAATTGAGGAAGGAAGACAGGCGTACTTAAATTATTATAGAGAATTCCAAAAAAAAATCGAGGAGCCTTTACAAAAAAGAAGTGAATTCTTAGCTCAAATTATGAAGGATAAATGTAAAGAGTCTGAAGACTTTAACAGAGACTTTGCAAATTTGTTACATAAACATAGAATACCTTTGGACCGATTTCCAATTTATAATGAAAAAGAGGATATTCGACAAGAAGAAAATAACAGAGAAATATATGTAAGAAAGAGGAAAATGGAGAAATATCAAGAAGAATTAACCAAAGCTAAGATGGTAAGACAGAATATGAAAAGAAACTATTGGGAAGATAGAAATAATAAAGAAGATAAGAGCTATTAAGACTAACCAATGTCTACCATACTTTTATGGAATGCAGGAGGTATAAAAAACAAGAAATCAGAATTAAAAAACAATATTATTCCGTACGATATTGTAGTTATTACTGAAACTAAATTGAACAGAAATAATATTTTATATTTTTCAGGATTTAAGACATATAAATCTAACAATGCAACTAATAGTGGTGGAGTTGCAATTTTAGTTAAAAATAACATTGATTTCGAAGTTATTGAAGAATGGAACATCTCCTCCCCAAACATAGAAGCTATCGGTATTAAAATTAAAAATACAAATAACAACTTCAATTTAATAGCGGTCTATAGAAAACCATATGGTTCAGAAACAATTACTTCATGGCAGGATATATTAAAATTTAAAGGAGTCGATGACAATTCAATTATTTTGGGCGATTTCAACTCCCACCATACTATTTGGAATTGTGATAGAATAGACAAAAACGGAGAAAATTTATACTTAACAATGTTTAACAAAGGCTACGTTAGTATAAATAATGATACTAAATCTCGGCTAAATTACTACAATCAGTCTGCTTCTAATATTGATTTGGCATTTGCTAATAGAGATCTAATAGGAAAGCTAGAATATGTACAAATAAAAGATACATGGGGATCTGATCATTATCCAATAGAGATTAGTGTTAATAGTATTATTTCACAATATAAAAAAAGAACAAATAGAATTACAAACAAAAACACAGATTGGAGGTCTTTTAAGAACAAGGTAGAGGAGGATTTACAAAAAATCCAGGACAGATCGATTGATTGTGGTAATTTGGAGGAGAAATATAAAATATTTATAGATATTATCAAAAAGCAGCCATGTTAGCAACAGGTAAAAAAACTGACAAATGTATAGATAATAACTCTAATGTAAATAATAGAATTGATGCGTGTAAGCTCAGACAACCTGTTAAATGGTGGGATAATGAATGCTCAGAGATAATAGAGAATAGAAAAAAAAACTAAAGATATGGAAACGGACAGGAAAAGTGGAGGATTTTATTGAATTCAAAAAAAGTCGCGCACTAGCTAGAAAAGTCATCAATAGAAAGAAAAAAGAAGATTTTATTAAATTTTGTAATAGTATTAATAAACATACTAGTATGAAGTACGTTTGGAATTCAATGCGTATATATAAGAATGTAAGAAATAAGATTAACTGGAACGTTTGGCAACATAAAGATAGAGAACAAGAAATATGGAATACGATTGAAGAACTTGCTCCTCCATGGGTTGCAGAGGAAAAAACAACAAGACGGATAACAAATACGACAGATAGAGAGGAGTTGAATAGGATGTTTTCTATGGAAGAGCTCTCCCGTGCCCTATGGATGATTAAAAGAAACTCAGCTCCAGGGTTAGACGGAATAGATTATATAATGCTAAAAAACCTACCGAAAATTGGCAAACAATTACTTCTAAGGTTGTTCAATGAAATTTGGATGAGGGATTGGTTTCCGTCGGATTGGAGAAACTATCAGATTTTGTTTATTGATAAAATAGGAAAAGAAAAAGTCAGACCTGTTGCACTTTCTTCATGTGTAGGAAAATTAATGGAAAGACTGATAAACGAAAGACTTATTTGGTGGCTAGAAAAAGAAAAAAAGCTATCATCAATGCAAAATGGATTCCGTAGGGGGAGATCATGTATGGAAAATTTAGTAAAGCTAGTATCGGATGTTCGTGGAACGAATCTGGCCGACAATTACACCTTAGCGGCTTTCTTGGACGTCTCAGCGGCGTACGATAATGTAGACTTTGATATATTAATAGAGAAATTAAGAAGGGAAAAGTGTCCAACGGGTATTTACAATTTTATTAGTAGATGGTTAGAACCTCGTGATACATCTTTTGTGATTAATAACCAAAGAGTAGAAATTAGAAAAGTTAACAAAGGCTTGCCACAGGGAGCAGTTCTTAGCCCTATTCTATATGCGTTATACACGAATAAATTGACTTCCAGATTGGAAAATTCAGTCCAAATAGTACAATTTGCGGATGATATCGCGGTATATGTACAAAGTTCCAACAGATTTGAAAATAAAATAAACTTGGAGGTAGCAGTTAATAGAATAGCGAAGAATCTAGAAATTCTAAAACTAGACTTGGCACCACATAAAACAAATCTGGTGGAATTTTCTAAAAAGGGATTCTGTGATAAAAGGCTCTCTATTAATGTTAAGAAAACAAGAATTTTTAATAATCAGGGAGCTAGATTTCTAGGAATTTGGTTAGATAATAAGCTGGATTTTGATAAACAAGTTAGTGATATTAGAGGCAAAGTTAGTAGAGCTAATAATATTATGAAATACCTTAGTAATATAACTAGAGGCGTAGAAGTGAATACTGCTTTGATTCTATATAAAAGTATAGTAAGATCAGTTATGGATTACGGTTTGTTTGTGTATAGTCCAACTTCAAAATCTGTTCAACTTAAATTAGAAAGGGGCCAATTCCTGGTAATTCGTACAGCTTTAGGATATAGAAATAGCACGCCAAATAATGTGTTGATTGCAGAATCCAAGGTTATTTTATTAAAAGATAGAGCTTTGATGTTAGCTAAAAATTTTTGTAGCAAAATATTTAAATATGGAGAAAATACACTTAGAAATAGTCTTAATAACCTTCTAAACAAAGAGATGTTTGCAAGATATAGAAATCCAAGTTTTAATAAGAGTACTATTAGCGAAGCATGGGAGTATACGCGTCGTTTTAGCAACAAACTAGGTGCCCAAGAACACACTTTTGAAATATGGAACATGGAATATAGCTCCCTGACTAATGCGATAAATATAGATTTTGAAATCGGCAAGATCATTAAAAAAAAAGGAAAAAAAAGTGACTGTGATATTAGTAAAATAAAAGGATATAGGACTTTAGATATTAAAATGATTAACGAAATTAAACAGAGATATAAGTTAGATAATAAAACTTTTATTATGTATACTGATGGTTCTAAAGACATAACGGCTCAATCAACAGGTGCTGGTATAGTCATTGAGGAGCAAGACGAAGGTTATTATATTAGTTTACCTAAGGAATGCACAATATTTACGGTAGAGGCAATAGCAATTTCTACAGCTCTAAAGATTGCAGAAAGTAGAAGGAATTCCTTCAATAATGTAGTTATATTTTCTGACTCGAAGTCCGTTCTTCAAGCTATCTCTCAAAATAATATTAATGTATATAAAAATAAGTATGTTCTTGAAATAAGAAGGCTATATAGTCGATTTAAAGATCTTTATTTAAGAATATATTGTTTGTATGGATTCCATCTCACTATGGAATCTCGGGAAATGAAATTGCAGATTTCCTAGCAAAAGCAGGCACCCAGGAACCGGCAAATGTTGAATTTGATATTCCTATTAGAGATTTAAGAAATATATATAAAAATGAAGCGTGGATAAGAACACAAGAATATGTTATTAGAGATTCTAGATTGAAAGGAAAGTACTATTTTTCTAACTTTTATGATAGGAACAGTAAAATACCGTGGTTTGAACATTTTAACGAGGAAAGATATTTTGTAACCTTTGTAAATAGATTAAGAGCGAATCATTATAATTTAAATGCATCGTTAGCAAGGAAAAACTATATAAATGACACAAGATGTGATTGTGGCTACGAATATGAGGATATCGATCACGTGATTTGGCGATGTCATCGATACGACGAAGAGAGAATGAGAATGGGAGACATCTTAAGTAGCAGGAATATCGACGGAGTGGAAAGCGTTACAGACATCCTGAAGAAAAAAGATTGGAAGAAATTTGGTGTTATATTCAATTTTATCAAGAAATTGAACAGAATTATTTAAAAACTTACTGGGCTCAGATGCGAGTAATTTAAAAAAAAAAAAAAAAAAAAAAAGGCGCCCTCTACCCTAGCCTTGCGTTATATAACCTCAAAAACCGATCCGGTCAGGTTGACGACGCGTGTCCCGAGTGAGATACGAAAACCAAAAAAAAAAAAAAAAAAAAAAAAAAATTGAAAGTCCTTTGACGGGTTCAGACGTGTTTTATCTGAAAAATTTTTTTTTCTTTGTTCCATTGTACACCAATTTAGAACATCTTGTAACTTCTTTGTTTTAATAGCTTCTTACAACATTAATAATTTGAAAAAGCAAAACTCTTCTCTCGACCGTACTGGCAAATATTATTTATTAAATCACAACGTTTCGACCCTTCTTTGAGTCCTTATCAAGTAATCTAAATATACATAGAGAAGAAATATAGTACAGAAATTAATACAATCAAAAAAAATTACTTCACTTAACAATATTACAAAATAATAAAAAGATGCGAAACATACTTGTGAAAATAAAAATAAAATTATAATTTTAAGTTGTCATGAACGAATATAGTGTCGGTTTGACAACACGTCAAGACTCTTAGACGAGTTATGAGAGACTCTGAGAGACTGAGTCTCTCATAACTCGTCTAAGAGTCTTGACGTGTTATCAAATCGACACTATATTCGTTCTTGACATCTCAAAATTATAAAATCAAATTGAATACTTAAAACGTCGCTAGTGGTATTTAAAATAGGAACAATGTATTTAATTTGACCGAAACTAGCCAAGAAATTTTTATTTTATTTCCACAACGTTTCGACCATCTGTTTTTGGTTCTTTTCAAGTGAAAAATTTTGAATCGAATTGTAAAAATATTCCTAAGAATTCCATTGAAGTAACTCGACTCTTAGTTGCAAATACACTTCAAAGATTCCTTTGTGAACGGAAACATATTAACTATTTAGATAGATACATTCAGAAAGAGTTTTCAATTTGTAAAAAGTTTTTACATGACAATGATGATATTTTTGTCACGAGAGCTGATAAGGGCCAGACCACTCATCATGGATAAAGTAGATTATTTTGAGAAAATGGAACTTCTATTAAGTGACCTCTCTACAAAAAACTTACAAAAAATTAAAGAAGAATCCTATTAAGGCTTTAACGAACAAATTAAATTCCTTAACAAAATCTTGGCTTAATAAAAATTTAATAGATGAATTTACTCATAAAAAACTCAATTGCACTAACGGCAATTTACCACGTTGCTACGGGTTACCCAAGATTCATAAGGCTGGCTTTCCATTGAGAATTATTGTATCGTCAATTGGTAGTCCATTATATAATTTCTCGAGCTACATTCACAACATATTGTACAGCTCTATTAAAAAACCGAATTCTCATATTAAAGATGGGTGGTTTTTTGCAAAAAACATTAAAGATATGCCTATTAATGATGACGATGTAATGATTTCTTTGGATGTTAGTTCCTTATTTACAAATATTCCCAGGGAATTAGTTATAGACGGCATCAAGAAACGCTGGAGCGACATAGAAAAAAACACGAAATTTAATTTATCTCAGTTTATATACGCAATTGAAATGATCTTGGATTCGACCAGTTTTAGCTTTAACGGACAATTCTATGAGCAAATTTTTGGTACTCCTATGGGTTCCTCGTTATCACTAATTTTGGCGGACATTGTAATGGACGACCTAGAGACACATTGTCTGAGTTTATTAAACGTTGATGTACCTATATATTATAGATATGTGGATGACGTCTTTGCAATTTTGCCACGTAAAAAAATAGACGAGATGTTATCAATTTTTAACAATTATCATCAAAGATTGAAATTTACATACGAAATAGAAAATAATTCTGTAATTAATTTCTTGAACACTAGTGTCATTCGCAATGATAAAAATGCTTATTACAAATTGATACAGAAAACCCACCTGGTCCGGAAGATATATAAACTTTTACTCCAATCATCCGTTAAAATTGTTATATCCCTCAGAGATATAACTATTAAGAAATAATTACTCGTATTACATCCGCTTGACGACGGACACTGACCGCGTAAAAACGCATACGATGCGAGATATACGCGAAACCGAAATTGCTCAACGCGCAAGCAAAGCAGAAGGACTTTGAATTTGCTTCGCTTGCACTTAGGTCCTTGACCGAGGGGGCCTGTTGCCAGGCACCCCTTCCGATCAAGGAAATCCCAAAAAGCGATATTATAAAAAGGAAGCAGAGACGCGCCGAATCGCTCAGTCGCAGTCGCAATAAGTCGCTCTCAAGACGCTCTCGCGTCGTTTGTTAAAACAATCTCGCTAACCGCGTGCGATCTTAACATCTTCTCGCAGTCGCGCGCAATACGCGAAGTTATAGTTAAACAGTGCCGTTAAACCAATATACGCACAAGTGTAACAGTGGTAAAACAAATAAAAGTCAAGCGGTTTACTTGAATAAAAGTTTTAATAATAAAAAGTGAAGTTCATTTATTTCATCAACCCGAAATAAGTCCCGACGCCCCGGATCCTCATCCTAATTTGGCGCGACCCCTTGTGTCTCACCCGAGGCACACAACAAAATACAAAATCAACACCATTTACAATCTCATAGATCATGCCATTTTACTATCAGATGATAAATTTCATAATAAGAATATTAATATAGTACAGCAGACTTTAATGAACAATTGCTTTCCAACACATATTATTAAACGACATATAATTAAAAGAATTAATTATTTAAAAAATGATAATAGTAATAATATTACAAATGAGACTTATGAAGTGCGAGAAAACAAGTCTTCTTATATTTCTTTGCCGTATGTCAAAAATGTGAGCGAGAATATCGGTCATTCATTAAAAAATGCTGGCTTTAGTGTAGTCTATAAAACAGCCAAAAAATTGGACATATTAATAAAACGAGGCAAAGATACCCAGCAAACACAGTATATAAATGTTATATACTTAAGCATGTTACATGTAAAGTACACATTATATTACCTGTTATATTCCGTTTTATTATAGCAATGTAACAATTATATATCGATGTTTGCTAGGGTATACCTAGATCACTTGATAAGGACTCAAAGAAGGGTCAAAACGTTGTGATTTAATAAATAATATTTGCCAGTACGGTCGAGAGAAGAGTTTTACTTTTTTAAATTCTGTCTCGCGATTCTCAAATATCTACGTTTTTATTAATAATTTGTTATCCAATTTTTGCTTCAAAATTCTAGACACATCAATAATAATGACGCATAATTTGATGTGTCCTGTGCACATAATACAAAAAAATTATCAAAAATGCGTATATATATGATTCAAAAATAATTTTTGTAATAATATAATTTTAAATTAAATTTATTTAATACTGTCGCAATAATATTCCCAGCAAACACAAATGTTACAGTAACATAACATAGATGTAATAGTTATGTTACAATGTAACATTTACATTTATGTTATGTTACTGTAACATTTGTGTTTGCTGGGTTATTTCAACATTTTAAATATTATACTTGAATAAAATTAACAAATATTACTGTTACGATGAAATACTTATTTTTTTAATTATGTATTTATTTCCCGGAACGCGTCATTTTCATGTCTTTCACGCACCGTGTGCACAGGGCACAGAAAAACATGCGGGATAGAAAAATGCGGAAGAGCGCTGATTGGCTGTTCAATTCACGCATTCTCTGTTTTGCACGTCGATTTCCGTATCATGGGATCGCACCCTTAGGGCCGGTTGTTCCAACTCTTGGTAAGTTTTACCCAACAGGTAGCATATCTTTGTCTCTTTTTTTAGAACTTATCTGAAAAGAGACAAAAATATACTATCTGTCAGGTAAAACTTACCGAGAAGTTGAAAAAATCGGCCCTTAGTGACTCAGTCGACACAAGCAAAGAATACAACGAGTATAGAAGCACGGTTCTCGGTACCCTGCGGGTCGCACGAGCTGGAATACTTTGCTATAGTTTACGTCACGTATACTGTACTGAAATGCTATAAATAGTACAATATACGTGACATAAACTATAGCAAAGTACCCCAGCTCGTGCGACCCGCGGGATACTAAAAACCATAGATATACAGGGTGTCCCATAATTCGCGAACCACCGCGAATGGG